GATGGCGAAGCGCAGGCAGCAAAGCGCAGATAGCGAAGCGCAGACAGCGAAGAGCAGGCGAAGAAGAAGGATCAGGTGACCTTGCTTGGAGTTATATCCCCTTGCTGACCGCAAAGTCTCCTGGGGAAATGTAGTTCTTCTCCGACAGACGAACATTCGGCAGATATCAAACCCCACCCCCAATGCATTACATGATGTTATGGTGTGGAATACTGATGACCAAAAATCATAAAACCATGACACAGACCGAGTGACCTCTCTGGGGCTGAGATGCCTTTGAGTTCGTCTTTATAAAACCGTGAGCACTTATGGAACCACAGAAACTTAATCACAGAACACCAGAAGTAGTTCATAGCACATCGAGTCACTGTCTGGGGATTACTTAACCAACACATCCCCTCCTGAGCTCTGACTGACAGCTGTTGGTGGAATTTCCTCATGAAGTAGTGGGGGTGCTACAGGAAAGCTGGGGAGGAACTTTTTAGATGGGCATGTGGTGGCAGGATAAGGGGAAATGGTTTTAAACTGGAAGTTGGTAGATTTAGAGAGATATTAGGAATAAATTCTTTACTGTGAGGGTGCTGAGACAGTGGATCAGGTTGTCAGTGAGGTTGTGGATGTCCCCTCCCTGGAAGCATTCAAGGCCAGGCTGGATGGGGCTGTGAGCACCCTGGTCTGGTGGGAGGTGTGCCTGCCTGTAGCAGGGGGTTGGAACTGGATGATCCTAAAGGTCCCTTCCAACCCAAACCATGCTGTGATTCTAAGTACTGCTTCTTGCTCGTTATATGCAAGTATTTCCAACAGCATGAAAGTAAGTAATATTTATTGAAAACTGTTCCACTTACATGACCAACAACTCTTACAGGTTCCCTACTCTGGGTACGCTAGCTTCTTTGTATCACTTTCCAACCTGCTTTTTCACGGCATCACGTGAAGGATTTCTGCACACAACTTCCAGGGCTGTCAGTGTGTCAGTGCAAAGCGGAGTGCTGCTGTTCACCAGCCAATGTCTCACTTTAGTGTAGTCCAACAGACAACACAGAGACAACAGTCTTTTCACAAAGGGAGGAAATTCTTAACAATGCTAAAAATGTGGAATAAAGATGAAATCTCTTAAAAAAAAAAAAAAAAAAAGGCACCAGAAGACCAAGTTTTATCGTAATGCCTGTGAAAGCCCTCAGCACACAATTTATAGCTGATACCAAAGGTACACTACAGCATAAATTGCTTATTTTCCTATTAATTTCTTCCCAGCTGACATTTGCGTGCCTCACTTTTAATTGAAAACCTGGATTTTAAGCTGTGTGGGGCAGGAGCCTTTTTGTTCTTCATGTAACTCATCTGCCCTGTCAATACAAAGGGACCATTATTTTAAGACACATTTCTTTGTCATTGTCTAATGCACGCTTTCCTAAATAACTGCACAAGAACACCTTCTCCAAACATTGCATCTTTTTCCAATGGAAGCTTTGGACAGATGCAATCATGTAACTTAATGCCTCAGCTGACAACTATTTGTAATGATAATGGAGTTTACTGTATAAACAAATGTGTCTTTCAGGTTTGAACTCTGAAGATGCTGAAGTCATGCGAGGAAATGCATTTTTGTATTTTCTCAGCATATGCATGCGAAAAAGAATGAAAATCATTGTAAAAGCAAGGACTGTGTTTTAAAACCAGCTGATTCCTTATGCCATGACAGTATGAGCTTATTTTCAGACAATCTGTTAATTGAACCCAGGAGCTTCATTCAGCAGGTCGATTACTTGGTGCATATATTTCATGAAACTCTCAGTAACACCACCTCCCTGGGTTTATTTAGAATCATTCCTCGTGACCGGACTGCGCCTCAGAACTAGCTATGGGCAGTCTCTAAAGCAGTCCTTCTGCAGTTTCAGGTGAGAATTTAGATTAAGACTTCCAAATATTTGTGTGTAGGGATATGTCTACTATTGAATCAGAGAAATAAGCTTAGCCTTTCCATACACATATGTGTTGCCTATTGCAGACGGAGCCCAGTGGCACTGCACTCCTGTGAAGTTACTTACATGTATGTAGATACGTTTGGGGGGTTCACATTTACAGGACTGATTCAGAATTAATTGGGAAAAGGTGTGGGTGGTTGTTTTTTTTTTTTTTTTCCTTTCTGAAGGCAGCTCTTTGCTTTACTTACAAAAACATCATGCGATTGCTTCTGAAGCTGCAGATACAACCACACTTGTAATTGCTTGTCACACACTGAAGAAAACTAATTTAAACCGCTTATTTGTAGCTATTAACCAGTCTCTTTAACTGCAGACAAAAGACCAGCTACAAACTAAAAGGAGAGACCTGGTCTTCAACTCATAAGAAAAGCACCGGATATTTTCAGATAATTATACTTCCATTTTCCTGCTACAACCAATTAGAATTAATTGTGAACTTAAATGGGTATGGAAATCACTCACCTAGCTGTTCTTCCAGCTAGGAAGACAAACATTTCATTTTCATTTTTTGTGTACTTAAAACCAAGGTGAAAGTCTTGTGCTTGCGGGAAGCACAGTGATTAATGTGATATGCAGGCAAAATACGTACATTTAGCAGGATTATAGGCAAGATACCCAATCCATATATTTTAAATGTTTAATAAACTTCAGGGAATAACCTGCAGCTTTCTGCCAAGAGATCCAGAATTCCTGAGCAGTTACAGATTCAGAGCACTATGTTCCATTGGAGGCTCCTCTGTCTTTTAGAAAAATTAATGCAAAAACTTAGTTCATAAGAAGAACACTGACACAATGGAGGACTCTAATATGAAAGCAGCAGGGCAGGTTACTAAAGCAGAACCACTCAGTACTAACCCTGATGCACGAGCTAACCAGCAGCTTGCTGCACGTCCTCACATCAAGTCACTGAAGACTTTGCTTCGTTTCGTGTTGCAGGGCTCACTGGGCAGAAAGAAGAGCTGTGCCACACATCGGTTTGTTGCTGTTGGCACCAAGTCACTTCTTGCTTTCTTTGGGGAAACCACTGCAAGCCTGAGCCTACTGGAAAGGCTTACAACTTATGGCTGTACTGCTTCAGGTTTGTGTATGTAAGAAACAGACCCTCAATAAAGGAAAAATTGTGGCTTGCAGCCATGGTAGATGGACCTCCCTGAAGTCAGAAGTTGGAAGAGGTGTTTTGTTGTTTTTTTTTTTGCCGAGTTGTCGAGAACTCTTTATGATAGGGATGGAGAACCTCTCCCACCAGAAAAGGCTGAGGGAGCTGGGACCGCCCAGCCTGCAGAACAGGAGGCTCAGGGGCATCTCCACGTCCAGAGACACCTGAAAGGAGGGCAAGGGAGCAGCGCCAGACTCCGTCCGTGGCGCCCAGAACCAGGACAAGAGGCGCTGGGCACAAACCGGAGCACAGGAGGCTCTGTGTGGGCACCGGGAGCACTCCTGTGCGGTGTGGTGACGGAGCACAGGCAGCCGGAGGCGCGGGCTCTCCTCCTCGGATACCCAGAAGCCCCCAGACGCGGCGCACGACGCCGTGTGTCCGCGCTGCAGCAGGGCTGGGCACGGCGCGCCCGGAGGGCCTTCCCAGCTTCGGCCGCGCGTGGCCCGTGACGCGGGCCGACCCCGGCCCTCGCTCGGCAGAGCCGCATTCCGGAGGGCCGCTGCCCGGCCCGCCCGCCCGCAGCCCCGCAGCTGCCGCCGGCCCCCGGGAGGAAGATGCCGTTTCCTCTCAGGTGTTCCCGTCTATTTATGAGCGCCCTCTCCACGCCCCTCCCGCATCCTTTTCCCCTCGCGGCCGCGGGGCGAGGCTCCAGGCCGGGCGCGCTACCTGAGCGCGGCCAGGGACCCACCTCGGCGACGGGCGGCCCGGACGAGGCCAGCCCGTCCCCGCGCCGCCCCGCACCGGCGCCGCCCCTCCGAGCTCCATCTTCCCCCTCCCGCACCCCGCGCCGGCCCTGCGAGGGGCGGGGATTGGGCGAGCCCTCCCGTCACTCCGCGCTCGCGCCGCGCTCCCATTGGCCGCTGGCGCCGTCAGTCGACGGCAGGGTCGCGCCGGCCCCTTGTTGTCACGGCGCCGTGCGGGGCTGGGGCTCTTCGCGCTGCCGTTGTTGCCGCTGCCGCCACCGCCTCGGGCGCCCGGCAAGGAGCGATTCCTCCGGCTCCGCCGCCCGCTCTCCCGGCGCGGGTAAGACGCCATGGCCACCAGCACCACGGGCTCCACGCTGCTGCAGCCCCTCAGCAACGCCGTGCGCCTGCCCGTCGACCAGGTGAGGCTGCCGCGACGCCGCCCGCCCCGCCGGGGGCACGCGAAGCGCGGGGCCGCCTCGTTCCCCCGGCGCCGCGGAACCGCCCGCCTCGCGCTGAGAGCAGGTGCGGCCCGCCGCCGTCCTCGCCCCGCCGGGTGCGCGCTGAGGCCGCGGCCGAATCGCGGGCATCGCCCCCGGGGCCGCTCCGCCGCCTGCGGCCGAGCTTGGGGTCCCGCAGCAGGGATGTGCGGTGGCGCGGCCCCGAGCCGTGTGCGCGGTGTCGGCGGCCGGGCGGTGCCGAACGGGACGGGACAGCTTGGCGAGTGGCCGTCGGGGGAGCGGGGTCGGCCTCCTCCGTCCGCGGGATGTTTGTGTGCCTGTAGGTGTGTCGGTAACTTCCGAGTGAGTTCTGTGGATCTTGTGGCAGTGGTGTGCTTAAAGGAAGAAAATGCTTCTGTTAGTGCGTGAATGAATGGAACCGGACGAGAGAAGCAGTCTGTCCTCCCGTGAAGGGATGCTGGTGCCTGGGCTTCGCGGGGCACACCTCGGGGGTAGGAAAGTGATTTGAAATGAAACCCAGAGGAAGGAGCGCGTCCATCGACTTCTGAGCTACCTGCTTGCTCTTCTCTGTTTCTCTTTCTTCCATGTGTCTGAGATGTAGGTGAGGTAACCACAGGTGCATGGAAATTCCTTCCAAAAAGCTCCTGGAAGTGGGCAGGTTTCAGTGGAGCTGGCTGTGATGGGGTGGATGCTGAGCACTGCTGGCACTGCCTCCTGTGGGTATGGCTCTGTGGCTCCGTGCTGTGTGCTGCTGCCATGGCTTCACTGGGAAATAGCGGGTGGAGTAAGAGGTGATCACCTTTTTATGGCGTGTTACCGCTGTCCTCTTATCAGCTTATCAGCTACTTGTAACTGAAGTCTTAAAACTTAGTGTTTTAGTTTTAATTTAAGAGCTTTTGATATGTCTTTCTGGTGGTAATGAGGTTACTTCTTATCAAAGCCTGGAGATCTTACCCGTTTTGAGTATGTTGCAACAGATGCTCCTGTAAGGGTGTTTTTGCAAATAGCTCTGTTTGAGCTCTATGAGTTCTTGGGGGTTATTACAATGGTGGGTGGCTAAACATAGGGTTTAGAATATTACTTTTATGATAAGCATTAAAAAAAGTATATATGTGTTTTTTCTATATCAGTGGGCTGCAGTATCAGCCCTGCTGGGTAGGGAGAGCTTTGACTACAAATGGGGTATGAAGAGTTACAAAATTATGTTGCGCTAAGAATGTGCCTTTAACTGATTCAAAAAAGAGCAACAAAAAGCAACGCTGTGGGTTAGGGCTTTGTAGACTGTCAGTTGGAGAGCCTGTCTCAATAGTAAGTGTGTAACACAGAGAGAACAGGGAATGTGTTCTGTGTCAGGGAGGCAAAGGTGGTGGAGAGCGTGAGGGCAGAGAAAGGAAATTCACCCAGAGGTTGTGTGTGGCACTCAGTGACACTGTATGTGCACTGGGTATGGAAACAGAGCTGTGCTTGGGGAAAAGGAATGAATGAAGAGCTCCTGATCAGTGCATTGTTTCTGCCATCCAACTCAAAGTCCTGCTGTGATGGGTCCTGCCATGAAGCAGGCACTGAGAATGATATGCTGTGCCAGTGGTTAGAACCAGTGGATAAACAAGATTAGGCTTTATTTATCTACTTCTCTATTTTGGTTTTTACCACAAGTAGATGCTAATATTTGTATCTAAACTATTGTGGTTTACAATTAAGCAATTACTCTCTGTAATGATCCTGCTCTACGATCTTACTGGAGGCGAAGGCGTGTAACTGGGAGGCTGAGTCCAGGCAGTGTGGCTGTGCTGCTCTGCTGGCTGGGTGGGCAAACAGATGAAAGAAACTTGCCTGGTGGCACAGAATGTAAGTAGAAATTTCAATTACAGGTGAAGCTGATATCTCTAATTTTGACCTGATTTTTTGGATAACTGGATGAAAATTTATGTGTGGTTTGAGTGCAAGAAAGCAGATGGACTGCTTCTGGTAGAATGAGAAGCACAGATCTGTTTGAAACAGTGTGTTACAGAATCATAGGGGTTGGCAGGGGCTTCTGGAGATGACCTAGTGCTGGTACCAGCCTGGAATATGGAGGATGGCAGCTCTGCCAGAGCCACTGCGTATGCTTGTGAGACCATAGAATATCCCAAATGGGAAGGATCAGTGTGTCCATCTCCTGGCATCACACAGGGCTATCCAAATATCAGAATGTATGTCTGAGAGCACTGGGGCTGTGCATGCTGCTCTGGGGAGCCTGTTCAGTGCTTGACCATCCCTGGTGAGGAACCTTTTCCTGATATCCCACCTGAACCTCCTTCTCTGTGTTGCACGAGGAGAGCTCTGCTTCTTTAACGATTTGCTCTTCATGACCTTTCCTCTTGGTAGCGAACCACCAGTTGGCTACTGGGAAGGAAGCTTGTTCCTCTTCTGTAACTACCCTGCACAAGGTGTTATGCGATGATTGGCCGCTGTGTTAACTTGTCCTTTGGCTCTTTCCTGCTCTTGTACGAAGTGAAGTGAAATGCTTGCTTTGAAAACCAAATGTGTTTTGTGGTGGGCTGCTGCTTCTGCCTTCATTCAATCCCTTTGTTGCTTTCAGTCTTAAGATGCTGGGGTAGATGGCTGGTGTGATCAGCAACCTGAGTCTGTCTCTGTAGATTTGGGAAGTCAAACATGCAGACCTTTTTTTGTATATAGTTATAGGAAAAAGAAATGCACTCCGTGGGGTGAAAACCTCTATCTTCTCACTTCTTGGAGCAGCCAGGTTTCCTGCTCAGCAGGGGAAGCATCCTGTTGACAGCTCTGTGTCTTGTGTCCCTAAAGTTAATGAAGAGTGAATGCATGTAATTGCCCACGATTCTCCCTCTGTCTTGTTTGACAAGAGAGGGAATAGGAGAAGTTATGTCATTCCCTCCCCTTGCAGCTGGAGAAGTGCAACAATAATTACCAGGAAGGCTTGGCTGCTGAAGGTTTTGTTGCATAATGCATCGAGGTTGCAGCTCTCAGTGTTGTGTTACAGCCTTGTCTCTCACCTAGGCTTCTAGTTTTCCCATCTATGCTCCTGTTGTGCTGGCGTCCCTGCTGCTTGCTTCTTCCTGCAAGGGGAAGCCTTGGCAGGCAGCGTGCTGGGCTGCAGTCCATTTCTAGCTTGGTCTTGCTGATGACAATCCCTTGTCTCTTGGTGTGCCAGCTCACCTATCTTTATATCTGAGAGATTTAAGTCAGTTGTGAGCTGAAGGGTGGTCCTAGAAGAGCAAAGCTTGGCTGAGTCTTTGCTCTTTCACTGCTTCCACCAGAGGGAGCAAAATTTGAATCAGAAAATCGGCAAAAATTAATTGAAATATTCCCGCAGTTGATTTGCCATAGAAACAGACAGCAGTTACAGGGGAGTCACTGGGCAGCAGGGATGGGAGCTGGGTGATGCCGGTATGTGAGCATCAGCTGTTGGCACTTGTCTGAGAGATCGACGTGGAGATTGTGGGGCACGGGCTGGAGAACTGGATCTGCTAGCTGCAGCCATCACCTTCCAGATAAGATCAGCAGAGCTGCAGTGTTTTTTAACAGACGTCACCAAATTTCCTCACTACTTATTTCTACTCATCTCTTGTTGTTTTTTTTTTCTGTTCCCCCGACAGTAATTTTAGCTTTTATTTGAATAATGTGCTCATTTATGTAGACCAGATAGCATTTTCTTCAGGAGTCCCAGAATCGAAATTGACCTTTTTAAAGAATAGCCATAAAGAGCTCAATGAACCTTATAAACTTCATACCTTAGCGATTGTGTGAGCAAGGCTGCTACACCTCTGCATTGCTTGCAGCACACGTGTCCTGGTGCAAAGTACCTGAGCTACTTCAGCACGCCTTGAATGCAGCCAGCTCTGCAAAAAGCAGTGAACACTGACATATGTTGAGCCTCATATTTCTCTTGGATGCCTTAGGGTAGGCAGGATTATTTTTCCCTTGGGTGTTCCTATGAATTGTGCATTTCTTAAATGCATATGACTGGAAAAATGCAACTGTGATGTTTTGCAGCATTTCAGTACCTAAAGGGAGCCTGCAAACAGAAGGGGAATCAATTCTTGAAAGGGTAGATAAGAGCACGACAAGGGAAAATGGTTTTAAGTTGAGGGAGGGAAGATTTAGGTTGGATGTCAGGGGGAAGTTTTTCACTATGAGAGTGGTGAGGTGCTGGAACAGGCTGCCCAGAGAGGTTGTGGATGCCCCATGCCTGGAGGTGTTCAAGGCCAGGTTGGATGGGGCCCTGGGCAGCCTGGTCTGGTATTAAACGTGGAGATTGGTGGCCCTGCATGTGGCAGGGGAGTTAGAGATTCATGATCCTTGAGGTCCCTTCCAACCCTGGTGATTGATTCTGTGATTCTGTGATTCTGTGATTCTGTGATTCTGTGATTCT